ATTAATAGTTGCTTTGCACCAGCCTATTGGGCTCTTGATCGAGCTCTAAAGCACAACAGGAAGAATGAGTACCTTTTTTTCTGCGGGAAATCTACTTGTTTGTCACATCAACCCGTTCCATGAATGCAGGCCTTGATTGATATAAGCATAGCCCTCCAACCGAAGTTTTAAAGGCGAGCACTGAGCGTTCTTACGCCTTCCTTCTGCCGCTCCCCTAATGACCCGAAGCGCCGAAATTCACTCAGCCGCGAAATTTATGCATCCATGCATTTTTACACACCCTTCAGGGGACGAGCACAACCAACTGCTTCCCTCGGTCGCCATCCTTAAAAGTAAATGGACTGCAGTCCTTTTGAAGAGATGCGTCCTTCGCATCATTCTGCCAATGCGACTAAAGCCCATTTATATGTATCTGCGCAAGTCACGCAAATTGCAGTCTCTAAGGGTTTCGCTCCAGTTAGTAGTCGAATGTCGCGTTGCGTAGTCGAAGAAGCCTGCAGCAATCTAAAGCCACACGACACGCGGTTTTAAGGTTGAAAAACTTCAAACTGTGCACCGAACAAGCGAAAGCGGTGGTTTGTAGCACATGTTTTTCCTTTTATGCACTGTCTGGAAAGAAAAAGACATACTAGCAAGTCACTTATGCGTGCATTTTGTTATTTAGGCGAAGAAATCACAACAAATGAGCCCGTTGAACCGGACACCCCGATCAGTGAAATTCGAACGGAACCTTACAGCCTCCCCAAGGGCTTCTTCTGGCAGGATCTGGACTTGAACAACCCCGCTCAAGTAGGCTTTTTTGAGTTGTTGATTGTAGCCTTGATCATAATGTTCTTTTTTGGCTTAATCCAGTGTTTTAACTGTAAGGAAACCCAAGACGCAAACACAAATAGCAGGTATCGAGCTCTTCGCAGGAAAACTGCCAATTTTTTTTAAAGTTTTCGTACGTGCTTGAGAGAAAGAATAGGGGAACAGTCACTCCCAGGGTGAAAGTAGAGTTTGCGAACTATCAACCAATGCGTCTGGCTGTCAGTGGTGATGAGCATTGCTTGGATTCGGTTCGAGCTGGCGCAAATGACTCCAGTACATAGCTTGGGCTGAACAGATCAGGGGTCGGTGAAGGGTCCTGAAAACTCGCTCGGCGAACTGTTACCCTCGAGAGTTTTTATCGTTCACCAGCCCGCTTGAGAATTTTAAAAGCTGTTAGGCTATAGTATAGACGTGTGAAATAGACCGTTGTCCGATGGGTGAGCACAGCTCTTAATGAGCTAGGGTTCAATCGATAATTTTTTAACGTTCAGTCTGACATGGCGTATTGCGCAAGTTCGGCAAAGTAGACTACCCGCAAGTATTTTGTTGATTGTGCTGCTGCGGAATTTGTGAATGAAAATCCAAACTATTTCCTCCTCTTCCCCTTTCTTTCTCCTTCCTCTCCCTTTTCCCTCTCCCGCACCCAATTCGTATTATCCTCCTGGAACACCCTGCACCCGAGCAATAGTAGCTGATCAGTGTGATATGGCTTTCGATTTCGGAATTCGCGAAATGCTGGAAAAAATACGGTGTTAGGTGAGGGATCTTGAACTACGCAGGTCTTCACTACCCTCTGGACTCATCCATTTCTCGGCTCGACCCTAGCTTTAAAGACTAGGGTTGCACGCCGTAGACATTCACCAGCCACCTTCATGACGTACCCTTAGGAGTCCGCTCAAGTTTCGTACGGAGTCACAACCTCTGCCCGTTAGCTAAAGACTGCAAATACTTTTGCCGTAAAAAGGAGTCAGCTCTATCACTGCAGCCAGAGCTCTATTCACCTGAATTTTCAAATTTATGCTCAACCATCCTCTGAGGCGAAGGCAAACCTTGTTCCAGCAGTTGCTTCCACTTCTTTTTAGGTCTCTATCTTCTGCAATAATTAAGCTAAAGCTGATTTTACTTGCGACTCCTCGAGTGACCTGTCATGGACAAGGGGACCAGTCCTGCCCACCCCTAAATTTGATCCCCTCTATACGGTGTATTTTTTAGCTCCAGGAACTGTACGACCTCCTGAATGAAAACTACGTTGAAGATGATGATCACCTTTTCCGTTTCGCTTACGCCAAGGAATTTCTTAAATGGTAAGTGCTGGACTCGATCGTTTAAAACAAAAACGCAGCGGATAGTATTCTGCCTATGCAGGAATTAGATCATACTGATTTGATTCGCTTCCCAGGACAAACTGTATCTGAATCCCGTAATAGAAATTACAAACAGGCAATCACCTACCGGTTTCCGCGGCTACTGAGTAAGCAAAAATAGGAGTAGAAAGTTGAGCAAACCAAGACGTCACCTGCATTTACTTCCTTTCTACGCACATCCGCGCTTCATAGGCGAGGTTTGGCCGATGAATCAACAGCACTGGCTAGCCGAACTTGCATCAGTGCCGCTGTAGTAGTAGCTAGTTTTCGAAGAGACTGACCGGCTAATTATTCTCACACAGAAGTAGACATGCACCCGGCTGTTCGAATTCACAGAAAAAAACAGCTTCCTGATCTCACTGTTTTGCGAGTTTGAAACCATTCTTACACTGAACTTTGTTACGTGACGTAGGTTCTGCTCCCACCAGCTCTAGTCTAAATCCCTCAATGCAAATTAGTTTTCACTTCTTCTCATTTTGGCATGAAAAGTACACAAAACCAGTCAGACATCTGATAGGACCCCTATAAAAGACAGTGGTCATCAGTGTCCTTTAGTGAACTCAGTTTGTCGATACTTCTGCAAACAAGATGTAAGATAGAACTCTTAGGTTATGGGCACACATTTAGCTGACGGGCTTTAGATCTGTAAACTGTGGGCCTATCTCTTCACAGGCGGATTGATTTTGCATGGAAACACACGAGTCAGGGGCAGCATAGATTACCCGGAGAAGTGGTTAACACTCTGGTATGCTCAACGGGAACCCGACTGTTGCATAACAATTCATGACGAAATCATTCCGAAGAATTCAGGTTCTTAGCCGTTCAGATTATTGACAAAATTTGCGGAAATTCTGGACAGTTCATCTCAAACCCTTTCATATAACAACTAAGTTATCCACTTGGATCGAGCTCCTCAGAGCGAAACAAATTTTATTCTGTCCTTAACTGTAGCGACCAATATAGTGATTG